GGGGTGGACCGTCGTGCCGGTTGGTGACCGGGGCGTGTGGTCCCGGCGGCCACTTCCGGGGGGGTGCGGGGGCCCTTTTGTCCGGCGGGTCGGCGTATATCCTCTGCAGGCAATCATTCGGGGAAACATGCCTCCCTAATTTGCCCGGTCTTGTCGCGACAACGTCCACTCGTTTCACGTCTCTTTTTCACTTCCATAATGGCAGCTCCTAAAACAAAGTTTGGACGTTCAGCGGTGCACACCCCCACGCCTTCAACGCTGTTTGAGGTCGAGTTCTGCAACATACGCGGACTCCACTCTAACCTCAACGCTGTCCACCACCATCTTGAGACAGCACGGCCAGCATTGTTGTTCCTGACGGAGACACAAATACTTCCGCCTGCTGACACAGGCTACCTTAATTATCCCGGCTACGTGCTTGAAGAGTCCTTCAAAGCGAAAGCCGGTGTATGCCTGTATGTTCGGGCGGATGTTTGTTGTCGCCGTCTCCGCTGCTTGGAAGATCCCTCCTTCTCCATGCTGGGGGTACACGTCGACTCTGGCCCCCTGGCCAGAGTTTACGTGTGTCTCTACAGATCCCACACCGGCGATGTTGAGACAACTCGACTTTTTGAACACCTTAGTCGGGCAGCAGATGACGCGCAGGAACAATTTCCCAATGCAGAATTGGTGTTTTTGGGGGACTTTAATGCTCACCACAATTTGTGGTTAAGTTCCTCCAAAACTGACCATGCAGGGATCTCTGCTCACGCATTCGCTCTCACGCATGACTTGAAGCAACTGGTTGATCAGCCCACCAGGATCCCAGATATTCCAAGTCAAGAGCCTTCTTTACTGGACCTTCTGCTCACGACCCATCCACAGGGCTATCAGGTTGTGGTAAGAGCCCCCCTGGGCTCGTCAGACCACTGCCTGATATCTGCCAAAGCACCACAGGCCAAGCCTCCGCGTCCAGCAGTGGTCAAGCGCCGTATCTGGCATTATGGGTCGGCAGATTGGGACGGTATGCGTGACTACTTTGCGTCCGTCCCTTGGAAGCAGCGCTGCTTCAGTGACAGGGACCTATCGGCCAGTGCCGTTGCCATTACTGAGGAGGTTATAATGGGTATGGAATACTATATTCCTCATTCTGATCTCATCAGTAAGGGCACGCGTAACCTCTGGTTCAATCACGACTGTGCTGAAGCTGCTTCGCGTAAGCAAGCGGCATATCGTGCTTGGATCAGAGGTCGCGCTCTCAAGGATCCCGAGGTCGATTCACTCAAAGCAGCCTACAATTTTGCTTCCAAGGCCTGTAAGAAGGCTTACATTAGAGCGGATGCCCAGCGCGTTGCACGTGTTGGCCAGGAACTTATGACGCATCCTACGGGTTCCCGTAGCTACTGGCGTCTGGCCAAGGCCGTGCAAAAAAACTTCTGCGAGCCCTCGCTGCCACCTCTGAGATGCCCAGACGGAACACTAGCCCATAAGACGCAGGAGAAAGCCGATTTACTGGCAAAACTCTTTGCGGCTAACTCCCGAATCGATGATTGCAATGCACTGCCACCATCATTACCTCACTGTGGCACAACGATGCCTGATATTAAAATCAGGCAGCGCGAGGTTCGTGCCGAATTGCAATCACTCGACGTCCGGAAATCTAGTGGACCTGATGGCATCCCAGCAGTAGTACTCAAAAAATGTGCAGCGGAGTTGTCTCCCGTGCTCACGCGCTTGTACCAATGCTCGTATTCTTTGGGGCGTGTGCCGGAGACTTGGAGAGATGCCAATGTGCAACCGGTGCCCAAAAAAGGGGATCGCTCAGACCCGGCAAACTACCGGCCAATAGCAGTCACCTCAGTTTTATGTAAAGTTTTAGAAAAGGTCCTTAATAACCATCTGACCCGCTACCTAGAGGATCACTCCTTGATTAATGATCGTCAATATGGTTTTAGACCGAAACGATCGACGGGTGATCTTCTAGCGTACTTAACTCATATCTGGGGTGAGTCTATCGACAAGCGTGGCGAGTCGTTGGCTATCAGCCTTGACATTGCCAAGGCGTTTGACAGGGTCTGGCACAAAAGCCTTCTCTCCAAGCTTCCGGCATACGGTCTGCCAGCCCAGTTCTGTTCTTGGGTAGCTGACTTCCTGCATGAGCGTAGAATTCGTGTCCTTACGGATGGTAGCAGTTCGCGGTTCATGTCAGTGAATGCCGGCGTTCCCCAGGGCTCCGTCCTATCCCCCACTCTCTTTCTGCTGCATATCAATGACTTAATTCCTCTTGGGAATATTCATTGCTATGCAGACGATAGTACAGTGCATGCGGGGTATCTCGGACAAGCAGCGGCTGGGCTGGCGGTAACCAAGGAGAAACGCGAGAATCTTGTCATTGAACTCAATCAGGCTTTGGACCACATTTCCGAATGGGGTACCAGGAACTTGGTTGAGTTCAATGCCAAAAAAACTCAGGCTTGCGCCTTCACGGCAAAAACATCGTCATTCCTTCCCCTTCCATCTCTTCAGGGCACAACACTACCGCTGCAGAGCAACATTTCTATGCTCGGTATGGAAGTTCGCTCAGACCTGAATCCAAAGAACTACATCGAAACCGTGATCAAAACAGCTTCACGCAAACTCGGAGTCCTGAACAAGGTGCGGCGTTTTTTCACGCCCGATCAACTGTGCTTGTTGTACAAAACGCAAGTGCGGTCCTGCGTGGAATATTGCTCGCACCTCTGGGATGGCTCCGCCAAGTACTTGCTCGATGCTTTGGATAGGTTACAGCGACGCGCGATCCGCATCATAGGCGATGAGGAGGTGACTAAACACCTTGAGCCTCTTCAATTACGCCGTGACGTGGCGTCACTAAGCGCGTTCTATCGTCTGTACCACGGCGAGTGTTCTGAGGAGTTATTCTCTCTTATCCCACCTTCTCCTTTCCTTCAGAGGACCACGCGCGCTGGCCTACGTTGTCATCGTCTAACTGTGGCCACAATTCCAACGCGTACAAAGAAATTTGGTGACTCATTTCTTTGTCGCACTATCCGTAAATGGAATGCTCTGCCCGCTCACGTGTTCCCTCCCTCTTACAACCTGGGATCCTTTAAAAGAGGCGTGAAGAAGCAACATGCAGGCCGGCAGGGTGAAGATGGCTGGTGTGGCAGGTAAAACTGCTGTATCAGCTATCGTCACGTCTGGACTTCACCTTCACTTAACATCAGGTGGGGTGGAGTCATTTGTCGGACCTATCTATAAAAAAAAAAAAAAAAAAATATAAATAATATTATATCACATACCTACACGATATTGAAATTACATTTTGTATTAAGTAAGTTGCTGGTTCTATATTTAGTCATATTTTACTACAAATTTTGATAAAAACCTATAAATTTCAAGTAATGATAAATGATTGTCTTGTAAACATGGCGCCTATGAGAAGCAGCTTTAACTTGCAACTTCAACCTTAATACTTCCTCTCTGGACTTCAAAGCGTTAAGTTTCATTCTTCTGAAGGTACAAGTAATACCTGTACCGCTAATGCAGTTCAAGTCTTTACAAGCACTTTTATTTCGTACTTACTGCAGGTATCGAACCAACTAATGGTAATTTGTTTAGAGATCCGTAGAACTTGTTGAAAACCCTAAAATACGATGATCGTTTGTAGATGCTTCTATATTTTTCGCTCTGTTAACACTAACTATGTCTTATCATGTTTTCAGAATGCCTACAAAAATAATACAAACTTATAATGAACAACAAAATAAACAAGAACTTTGCATCTGTCCATCTACGTGGGAAAAACCTGGAGTGTTACATTGGCCGAACAATAATGTAAAAAAATATGTAAAACAGAAGATTCAACTCCACAACCAAACTGGACTAAAATAAACTCGCTGTCCGAGTCCACATGATTACATCTAGAAGAAATAAACAGAAAATTACACAAATAAAGTTATTTTACTTCATTTTTATAATATGCCAGACCAAGCTACAACTTACTATTCCTCTGTAACTGGTCCGTTATCAATAATTGAGAAAACAAATTCTACGGGACCCTCGCTTGTGTTTGTTGAACTCGAACTTGGCGCATTATTTTTGTTTGTTTCCAATGAATCTTTTTAAAAATTAAAGAACTTCCATGCCTTCAGATTCATATTTCTTTTAATACAATATTTTATAAAATGTGATTTCTCCAATAAAAATAGCAGAATCTATCGAAATAAGTAGGCAATGTCCATTATGCTTCTGCTTCTATTGTAAAGCCTTAATGTCGCTATTAGTAAAACAGTCGATCAAATTGCTACTTAAGTCTGCGCAAAAGTACAAATCACTTCTGCAATAAAACTTTAAGTGGCAGAACAGTGATAAATATATCATTTATACAGTTCCGTTAAAAAGTCTGCAATTAAAGTCTTTGTGCGGTTCTGAAGCGTACAGCAGCGGCAATAGAAGCTTTTTAGCAGCTTTAAGCTTTAACATACATGTTTTAACTCTCTTTTAAATCTATAGACGGCAAACAGGTTGTAAAATGAACTCTTATAAAGACTAGAGTGGCATTTGGTTTAGTTTTTGCTACCCCCAGTGATATTTACAGCTATGAGCAGTTACGGAATCAACATTAGAACTTAAAACCACTTCATGAACTCCTAAAGCGCTACTGTACAGCTAAAAGTTGCAAAATAGGCTGCTATTTCCACTAGTGTGCTAGTTGGGTGGTTACAAGTTACAAAATGCATAAATTACCTAAAATGAACCAGAACCCTGTCAGGGTATCGCAACATAGTAGTGTCTTATAGATAAAAATTACAAAAGAGAAATTAATTAATATACAATTATCTATATGAAGAACTTAATTTGTATTAAACAATTTTATTTCTTTTGTTTTAACTACTTGATATTGTAAAGGCCATATGCGACCAACAGCATACACTCAAAAAAAAGAGCTATACAGCTATTATCTCTTCAAAGAGCTAAATTTCTCATGGCTAGAGTGTTCCAATAGTAATGGAATAGCGTACCTCGCAGGTGTCGCAAGCGCGCCCGATGACATGCGGTCTGCAGCGACACTGCCCGCTGCGGATGTCGCAGGCGTTGCTCTCGGCGCCGAGCTTAGAGCAATTGCAGCCTGGAACAATAGAAAAGATCTGTAAAGTACAGTTTATTCGATAAAGACAAAGTGAAGTTAAACAAAAATGCAATCTACTTTTGCAACTACAATGTGTGGGTACAGCAATGTGCTGGACTCTGTCGGGCACACTGACAGGTTTTAGAAGAGAGGATTCAACAAGAAGGAAGGAAGGAAGACACTTATGATTATGCGCTGATGAAATTGTAATTTACTGTAGCTGCCGATATTTTCATATATGGCATTTTGCGGATTTGATCAGCTTTCATCTATGTCCAGATTGGAGTATGGGTCGTTGATGTTAGTGCTTCATGGTTTGTTTCTTTTTTGTATTTTTGAAGTGAAAACTTCTTTAGCGGCGTTGTATACTTGTTTGTATGGGTAAAAAATGTTAAACTGCCACGTGTCCTGATAAGACGAAAACAATAAAATGGGAAAGGTTGTTGACTTTCAATAAATTGGATGAAACATAGTAATATTTTATTTTATCGTATTATAATAATAAGTCTCTATCTAGGACGTCCACGTGGCAGCTTTATTGCGAAGAATATGCATTTTTTTACAATAGATGTCGCTAGGTGCGCTTAAATGTGATTCATGTAAGTTGATTTTTCTGAGATATAAACTTTTTTAATGTAATATAAATTGTCATGTTTGTGTACGATAGCGCAATAAATATATATTGTATTCTACCACGTACATGATAGGACTTTTATACTGATAATTAAAGCAATTCGTGCAAAATTATTCCCTAACCATTCCAAAATATCAAAAATGCACAACTTTAATATTCATGTTTTCACTTCCCGTCGTTTTTTTGTAAATGTGTTGTTTTGTATTGTAATAAAGTACTTGTAGTGTGACTTTCTTATTAAACAAGTTTTATGAATAAGTTGCTCGCTTAAATTTTATCTTATTTTTTGCATTGTTTTTCCAAGCTTTCAGTTAATAAATACACATTATTTATATTGTGTGTAACCGTTTGTGTTTAAATGATTTTAAATTACTGCGGTAATCTGATTAGTAAAAAAATGAAAAGAACGCAAAATAATATCTGGGGATATATGTGAAAAATGTGCAATATAGGCATTTAATAATTTTAGTTTCGAGAAACAGTTGTAGCCAAAGCGAAAACTAAGGCTTGTTCAATATAAAGGTTTTCCCATCCAATCTCGTTTGGCGCTTAAGAGCCCCAGTTGTTAATTGCCAATATTACCCAGTTAAACCTACAGATATTACAGAATTAACTTAGGAGTCGCTCATTCGGATGGAACCGGTGTGTTTAGTTAGAGTCGCGTTGATAAAAGATTTCTCGATATCGTTTAATGTTTCGGTTGCTTGTATTATAAGCAAACGGCTGTCACTTCCTTAAGATTTATTTTATTTTATGATAAGATATATGAAATTTTTGACATTTGTGTTCCTCATAAAAAAATCATTCAAACAAATGTGATAGCAGGTTTATTTACCCGGTGTGGTACACGGCTGAAATTATTAAAAATATAAAGTTGAAATACCGATTGCATAAAAAATATAAGTCCAGTAAATTGCGCGGTGATTATGAAAAGTTTTCACAATGTAGAGCGAAAGTTAAAATTGAAACTGCATTAGCTCATGATCAGTACCGCGACCGCGTACAGCAGCACTTAGTGAGGGACCCGCGAGCTTTTTGGCAATACATAAGATCTAAGAAAGGGAATTCGAATAATCGTAGATTGATTAAAGACGGGAGGGTACTGACGGAAAACGAATGTGCCAATGAGTTTGCTCGGTTCTTCCGTTCTGTATACAATCCAGAGCCTCCCGTGCTAAGTGTGGAGGCTGCGAGTGCAAATTCTGAAGCAGGCGCAGCGACGGGTGCCTGGGCGCAGGTGCGCAGTCACTTGCGTGACTCCTGCGGAAGTGCAACACGCACTCGCGCGCTTGATTAAGATGCGCGCTTAGATGTAAGTGATTATTAAATAAATAAATAAATAAGAATAAGTAATTATGAGAATCCCATGCTCTAATCGGGCGTTTAATTAGGTTCATCATCATCAGCCTACTAATGTCCCCACTGCTGGGGCACAGGCCTTCCCTATGGATGGAATAGGGAGATTGGGCCATGACCCACCACGCGGGCCCAGTGCGGATTGGCGGGTGCAAACGACTGCAGATGCAGCCGGGACCAACGGCTTAACGTGCCTTCCGAAGCACGGAGGAACTCGAGATAGAAGATTTGTGGTCACCCATCCAATGACCGACTACTGCGAAAGTTGCTTAAATTCAACGATCGCAGCCGAACGCGCTAACCACTTGCGCCATCGAGCTCCTCATCTTTAGGTTACTACCGACAAATTGGGTGGTAAGGAATATTTAAAAACAAACTGACCATCTAGGTAGACAACTCCGATTGTCGGCGAGGAACGCAGGTTTCCACTATTGCGTTTAACAAAGGCCGGTAGATTTGCCTTTTAAGAACCCATATTGATTATTTGCATGCGATCAATGTATTAGTTTAAAGGATTTTTTCTTTCATCTTGCCTTTCGTTTCCTTCAATTCATATCTTCATTTTGTGCTTGTCAAATGAATATAAGTGTGTACTTTATTTGCTCATATGTTCTTTACATGAGTTAGGTAAGTTGACGAAGGATTGTATTGTGATGTGGCGAATAAGATAGTTGGTGAAATAGGCACATAGAATACAAGGCCACTCGAGCCAGGGAGGTCATACCTATGGGTGGAAAAGAGAGAAAGAGGAGAGGAGAGTTCATTAAAAAAAAATTACACCCAAACACACACAAACACACACACACAAAAACATAAACACACTATCACACACACACATGCACAGTTTTATGATTTCTATTTTAAATTTGTTTCTACCATAAATAAATATATACATATACCTATTAGGTTTTTATGGAGTGTTTTGAAATTGTATCGAGGGCTGGAGACCTGGAGCTCTAAAATACAGGTAGACTGCTGCCTAGTTAAGACCCCAGTCTCCTACAGACACGTTAATGTATGTATATTAATAACCTATGTTTACTATGATCCGTTTGATGTTAGTGGAGAGAAATAAATAAATTAAAATTATTGTTATTATTAACAGTGACAGGCGAAAGGAAGAAGACAGGTAACGAAATAGAAAACTAATGGCAGGTGTATAGGATGAGAGTGAGAACAGTGTAGGAGATGAAGTTGAATCGGTTAAACCCCTTCCCGAGAAGATGAACAACATTTGCTTTATCATAATATGTCTATGCCCGGTCCCGTTTCAAATCTGACATAGTGAAAAAGACTAGGAAGAAATAACATTGGTTGCATGAAGATGAAAGGTAAAATTAAGAAATAGTAGGGCTGCCATCTCTAAAATGTGGCAACCAGGATAAGATGCGTAATAACCCCGGATTTTGAAGCCCAGAACCCGGACAGACCAATAAAAAAACAGTTAAAAGGTCACAAATCAACTTTTTTATGTTTATCTAGGCAAAAGAGCTAGAGCGGTCTACCCCATAATAAGTGGTCACTGCTGCTAATGGACACTTGCAGCACCAACGGCCACTCATGCGTTGCCGTTGCCTGAATTTTTAAAACCGGACTACAAATAAAACCCCGCGCGGACGCTCCCCGGACGCCCCGTAAACTAGGACAAATCCGGGGAAACCCGGACGGATGGCAGCCCTAAGAAATAGTCTTGATTTATTATTAATTTGTTTTATCTAATTATGATATTTAATTATTTTGATATTATATAATACTTATATTAATATAATCTATATATCGATGTATAGTTTTGATCGATTTCCGAACGGTTCGCTTTTAACGTTTTCTTGGTAGTCTATGGCATGTTGTTCACTTCTTGGCGGTTGTAAAAGAAAAAGTGTGTTCCCTTAAATAATTTTGTAAAAGGTTGAAAAATTTAATTATTGTGAATAGTGTTTAGCGGTCTCATCATTCTGAGTGAATCCTTTCAAAGAGTAAAAGAGAAGTCAATCTTCAATCACTTGTCGACCTATTATATTCTTCGTTTTAGTCGAATGTAAAAACTATGTACGGAGCTTAAGGCATTGTCAACTTTGACAACAAAATTGCTGGGTCATGGACTTATTGATGAGTTAAGTCACCCTAGCCAATTTTGTATGCGTGCAAGGTAATGTCCGACATATTTAACAATTTATCCCTGGGAAGCTTTGGTCACGATTATTTATAATTTTTATTATTTATAAAGCATGTAACTGCTTGATGTTTAAATCTAAAGAAAATATAACTAGAAAAAATTCCACGCGGACCAGGCATGCTTATATATGGATTTACATGCTTTATAAATAATAAAAATTATAACTATAATTGCTATTTCTTCTTTCAAATGTTTAATACTTGTAAAAGTATTCATTTGACATTGTGGGTTTACCTATAATGCGAAGAGATGGCGCTGCCTTGCAGCTTAAGAATAGCTAGAGAGAATTTCGACGCGGTCCGTGAGGGCCGCGGTAGCATAATTGGTCAGTGCATTCGCCCGGATTGCGAAGGGTGCGGGTTCGAGTCCCGTCTGCTGCCTGGTCCGCGTGGAATTTTTTCTAGTTATATTTTCTCACGATTATTTATTTAACTTGTCATTTTCGTGCAAGTCGCCCTAAGAATTCTATAACTTCAGCAAAACCTGTTGGCTATTAGTTATAGAATCGATACTTCGGTATTATCTCACCGGTAATGGCCTAAGCAACAACCTACCTATTGGCGGTGCTATAATCTATTCGAGCATGCAAAATTATGCGAGCGATAACAATAAGCGAAAATCGACTAAGTGCTCCTGAGTCGCGTTATGACGGGCTAAAAGCTTTCGAGCATCGATGCCTGATTTATGGCATGAACTAACGGTTATTGGTTTATATTGGGTGCTTAATTGAACATTTAGAAGTCGTATATTGTTTTAAACTTTCATGGCCACTAACATTATAGTAATATAAGTTATTTACGGGATTGTTACCGATTGTTATTGAGTTTCTAGTGAATA